AAGTCAGTTACTTAAATGTCAGTTTACGATTGAGTAATTCTTTTGTAAATTTCAAATATTACTAGAGACCAGTTATTTTGAATATGATGCCACCATTTTTATGCTATGTGCATACTATCATGTTATGTTTATGCTATTCTGACATATCAAAACACTGACTAACTGGTAAAATATGTCAAATATTGACTAAAATAAAATGTAAGCAAACCTAAGATTCCAGCGTACTGTATTTCTTTATAATATCATGTGTAATCTGGTTGCCTACATCCAAAGTGTTATAAGACAGTCACTAAGACACTATGCCATGCTTATGAGTAAATCAACAATCAAATATGAACAAAATCACTCTATAACAAAAAATAAAGAATGGCGGCCATTTTCAAAATGGTTGTCTGAACCCAAAAGTGTCATAAAAGAGTGTGCCATGCTTAAGAGTATTCACATACCAAATATGAACAAAATCGCTCCACTGTTTTTAAAGTTACAGCAAAAACTGTAAAATAGCGTGTAAAGGCCGCCATTTTACAAGATGGCTGCTGTGTGTTTCTTAAATATCTACAGTTTCAGCTTTATAATGTTCTATATTACTTCTTTAATTGCTATTACAGTTTTATACATTGTACCTTAATTTGTGTAAAATCGGCACTAAAATGGACGCCATTTTGAAACGAGCAGCCATTTTCAAAATCGGCTTTCAACAGAACTTCTACCCCCATAAAGCATATGTGTACAAAATATGAACAAAATCGGTCCAAATATGAACAAAATCGCTCCACTGTTTTTAGAGTAACAGCAAAAACTGTAAAATAGCGTGTAAAGGCTGCCATTTTACAAGATGGCTGCCGTGTGTTTCTTAAATATCTACAGTTTAAGTTTTATTATGTTCTATATAACTTCTTTAATTTAAAACACATAGCTATTACAGTTTTATACATTGTACCTAAATTGGTGTAAAATCGGCACTAAAATGGACGCCATTTTGAAACGAGCAGCCATTTTCAAAATCGGCTTTCGAGCAGAGCTTTTACCCCTATAAAGCATGTAGACTGTATCCTTCGTCTGAATAAATATTCAGACTGTAAGTCACCTATTGTAAAATGTGGTGTTGTATAAATGTTACAAATAAGTTTGTTTAATGATAAAATGATTACCTTATGAAGAACTCACAATATTATTTTTTCGTATATTGTCCTCTTACTTACTTAAGATATTCATAAAATGTACAGGCGCTTCTTGTAGCGAAGCCATTGATTAGGTCAAGCCATTTTGGCAATGCCAATTCTCACGATAAACGAGATTTAGCCAGTGACGTCAGTCTATTTGTAAACAAATAACACGTGGAGCGGGAGCAACATTACGGAAGCGTATTGCTAAATTCCATTTGTGCGGGAATTTATTAGATCTAGTCATTTATTATCATTATCCCGATTAATTTTCTTCATTTATAGTAAATAGAGCGGAAATATTCATGAAGAAGGCCGAGGTAATCAAGTGGTCATGTGTTGTCAAAGTTCAAAATTTGCATATCTCGTTTGGATCTCGTGAACTCAAACGTCCTTGACATTGATTTCGCGATCTACTTATGAACACATCCTGAAGTTTCGGTGAGTCTGAACATTTCATTATTTTATATCAACTTGTACCCGCCTTATACAAATATTTTTGCTTCTAGTTTAAGATGAACATCTCTTCAACATATTCACCAATTTTCAAGGTGAACATTCTTATAATAAACGAGAAATTAATGTGCAAAAAATATCACCGCGATTTCCATAGGAAATATATCAATCATAACAGACCGAATATTATATTCGGTCTGTTGGATACATACTAAAGCATGTGTACAAAATATGAACAAAATCGGGCCAACGGTATTTGAGTTATCGCCCGGGCGGACGTACGTACGTACGGACGGACGGACGCGTTCCCTATATCCCTCTGAACTTCGTTCGATGGGATAATAAGGAATAGGTTTCATTTTATGGGGGTATTTTTGATGTACCATTTTTGGTTTGTCTTATCTTTCCCATTTTTCTTTGAGCCTACGATCAATAGGGGCTCGGATCTTGCTGCGAATCTGTGTAAGAGGCGTAGGAAATTCTCCCATGTAATTGTACAGGCAAAAGATTGAGACATTCTCAGGACTAAAGATAGTCCTGGCACGGGATAAGCCGCCGTGTGATCGCGCCAGGTCCATGATGATGATTTAGATCGAAGATGGTTTTGGAAAATGCAAAATCTCACCTCTAATTAGGCTGGAAAGATCCAATTTTACGCGCATCATCTTGCCAAAATCGTATTAGAAAAGTCTCACCCATTGTGATATCATCGTCGACAAAAGCGAGTACCTGTTCTGAGAGTGTTCTCTTCGACGTACATGTTTGTTTGTTTGTTTATGTCCATCTGTAATAGGTGCTTTGATGCCACCTTTGTTTAGTCTCTGGTGCTTGTTTTCCACACTGTGCTATCACTTGTAAGTTTTACACTGATGGTTTGTAGAAGTCTCTTTTTTTTATTTATTTTTTTTTTATTATTCTTAAAATCCTTATCTAGTTGAACTAACATATGTGTTTTTAAAATTTTAAAATCTTTTGCTCTTTATGATAAAAGTTCTGAATAGATCGTTCAGTTTCCTGTTGATTTTGTTGGGGAGTTTTTGATTTTCTCCGGCCAGGGTTTTCAAGTCTAGTGTGTATATAATTTCACACTCAAGTAAGATACAGACTGCATCGTGAAGCACTTTCTCCCGTAATTCTTGGAGTTTATTGCATTTGAATAAATAGTGATCTATTGTTTCTGGTTTGTTGCAGTCTAGGCATAAGTTGGTGTCGTGGATTGGGTTAATTTTCTTGATATGGCTGTTTAATCTGGTATGTCCACTCAAAAGTTGGTTAGTGATGCAGAAGGTTTTTCTGTTCGATTCACCTAGTAGGGTTCTTGTCCCAACAGAATCAATAGACCTCTGGATGTATCCAACTTTTTTCGAGTTGTTATACTGCCTTTGCCACTTTGATTTTGATGATGTGTGTATTTGTTTATATATTTCACTTTTAGTAACTATTCTGCTATCTTGACTTAGTGCCTTAGCATTTAGTGCCGCCTGCTTGGCATGTTTGTCAGCCAGCTCGTTTCCTTTGATATCAAGGTGTCCTGGTACCCAGTAATAGTTAACTTTGATACCCTTTTGAGTGAGATTTTTACATGTATTTCTGATCTTGTTGATGGATTCAATTTGATTTTTGGGTATACAGGTCTCAAACGCAGAGATTACAGCGGGCTGACAGTCGCCAAAAAGTAGTATATCCCTACACAGTGGTGTTTTATCAACGTATGTGAGGGCGAGCTCTATTGCTCTGACTTCTCCTATGTAATTGTTGCTAGAGCAGCTTATGGGACTTTCTAAGCAGATTGGTTCCCCTCTGAGGCCTTGCAAATATACAATGGCAGCTGCTCCTGTAGGGCCTGGGTTTCCTAGTGCAGAGCCGTCTGTGAACACTACAGTTTTATTGTCAGGGCAATTGTTAATTATGTCTGCTATTCTTTTACGCTGTGCAGACTTTGTTCTCGAGAATTCGTTGACTTCCCTTTTGACCTGGAGTTCCTCAAAATTGTTGAATTCTTTAGAATATGAGAACTCAATTTCCAAGTTGTTTAGTGGAGTGTTTCTGCAGAATTCTCTGAGTCTTGATTTGAGAATACTGAATGTTGTAGGTTTTTTCTCATTTGTAGTGTTGTTGGTCCACTGTATTAGTTCTCTGTGTATGGGACTGGAGTTCGTCTTCAGTTTAATTCTAGCAAGTTCTTGTGCTTGTCTGGCCTTGAGTAGTATGTCTAGTGGCAGTGTGTTAGTCAGTACTTCGAGAGTTTCTGTACTTGTAGATTGTAAGCAGCCAGTTGCTCTTAATAGTGCCTGTCTGTGTACAGATCTGTAGGCAGATATAGCTTTATCTGTTACAGTGGAAATTATACTAATTCCATATTCTAAGTTTGGCTGAACAAGGCTCTTGTATAGGTTGCAGAACACTGACTGTGAGCAACCTGTGTTAGTGTTAGTGAAATTGGATATCTGTTTCAGAGCACTGAAGCCTTTTCTCTGTCTTTCTAAAATGTGTTCATCGAACTTGAGGTTTTGGTCTAGAGTGATGCCTAGTATTTTGGTTGACTCTGTTACTTCTAATGAGATATTGTTTAACCTAATGTCAACTATAGGTTTAGTTTTTCCTGGTGGACAGAATACTATAACTTTGCATTTGTGCAAAGATATGCTCATATTCCATGTCTCGCACCATGATTGTAGTTTACTTAGGTCCTCATTGAGTGATTCTTCTATGATGTTATGGTCTTTCCCAGACTGCCATAGAATTATGTCGTCCGCATACTCTCCATGGCTTGCCTTTATTCCTGCTAGGGCGTCTGCGGTGTAAGCATTACAGAGGGATGGGGACACCACAGCTCCCTGAGGCAATCCTACAGTTGATGTCCTCAGCTCTGATGTATGTTTATTTACAGTTAAAGAGTATTGGCGGTTGTTCAGGTATTCTGAGATATAGCATAGGAGTCTGCCCCTCACTCCGTTATTGTAGAGCTTGGCTATGAGCCCGTCCCTCCACACCCTCTCAAAACAAGAGTCATAATCTATTGTTACCGCAATTACAGTCTCTTGCTTGTTCCAGCTTTGTTGCACCACCTGTGTGATTCTGAGGATTGTGTGGTTGCAGCTTCTGTAGATTCTGTAAGAGTCCTGGAATTCAGAAAAAAGGTTATTTGTTTCTGCAAACCAGACAAATCTGTCACAAGTTATGTGCTCGTAGAGTTTGCCCAGAATAGACTCTAGGGTAATTGGCCTGTATGCCCCATCTACATTATAGCTGGGTTTGGATGGTTTTGGGATCATGTTTTTGGGGTCAATTTTGAATTCCAAAGGCATGATACCTCTTTTCCAGCATTTTTGGAAAAGCTTAAGTATTACCTTGATGAAATTCATACCTGCCTTTTTAATAAAAATGTAAAATATCTTTTCTCTGGGGTCCGGGGCAGATAAGCTGTTTGATTTGTTTATGGCTGTTATGAGTTCCCCAATGTTAAGATCTTTGTTTTCAATACTACAGTCGCTGCTATAGTTAGGCAAGCTGATTTCAAGTTTTTCTAAATTGACAGCTAGTTTAGAGCCGATCTCTATTTGACTTTGCCAGTTTTTGTTACAAATGGATAGCTCCTCTTTGCCGTATTTCACTAAAAATTCATTGGCAATTTCACTATCTGTTATTGCAAAAGAACCATCCTTTCGTATTAGTGGTTGTACACTGGGTTTGGTTGTACCTGACTTGTTGTAATTTTTGACAACTTTCCACATTTTATCAGTGTTTTTCGAGTCAAGTTGCTTGAACAGATTATACCAATATTGGTCTTTGTATAGATCAGCCATCTTAGTGAATTCATTGGCTAGTTTTGAGTATTTGTCCCAATTATTGGGATCCGACCTTTTATTGAAATTGCGTTTTGCCTTCCTTACTTCTTTTAGTTTCTTTGTAAGTTCAGGACACCACCATCCCTTGCTGTATTTACTGGTCTTCTTCTTCTTCAGAGTTTTTTCGGCAGTGGCAAGTATCGCTTCACATATGCTGTTGTAATCCTGGTCAACACTAGAGGAATCTGTAATATTAGCAAGCAGAAAATTAGCTTTTTCAGTGCAAACTCTCTCAAATTCATACCAGTTTGCATTCTTGAAATCCCATTTTTCTATAACAGGGTTTTCATCCTTCAAACCTATTTCAAACTCAATTAGAAAGTGGTCAGATCTTAGGTAGATTTCGCTTCTAACACACCAGTTGCTTATTTTGTTGCATAGGTTACCTGAAGTAATTGTTAGGTCTATTATCTCGTCACCCCTTGTTGGAGACTTGTTGTTTGCCATGTATAATTGATTTGAATTGATATAGTTCAAGAGTATATCCCCCATTCTATTGTTTTTTGTACAGTGCCATGAGATGTGTTTGGCGTTAAAATCTCCTGTGAGGATTATGGGTAATGAGCCTTTTAAGGCAATATCGACAATCTCGAGCAAGTTGATCATGCCATCGTGATCTTCAGGAGGAACATAGGCCGAACATAGTAAGAAACTGTGATTGCCATTGTACACATTGGTCCACACAGCCTCGATGTCTGGTCTGACCAGGTCCTTTCTTTCTATGAATTTAACATCCTTGGATATTACAATTGCAGTTCCTCCTCCTTGTCTGTTAGATCTTGTTGATTTGACCCAATTCCAATGTTTGAGAATTTTGAATTTGGAAAAATCTGGGTGCCATATTTCAGATAAGCACAGAATTTTTGTGTCATTTGTACATAGTTTTTCAATATATTGAACTGAAGTGTTGACTGATCTAACATTGGCTTGGTTAATTCTCATTGTTAGTTGATTTGACAGGAGGAGGATTAGCAATATTGTTTCTATGAACAAAAGAGGGACACTTTGGGTTGGATGCTTTATGGCCCCCCCCCACAGTTTGCACATTTGCTTGGTCTTTTGCAGGCTGTATATTCCTGGCTATCATCATGTGTGTTTCCGCAATTATGGCACTTTTTTATTGCTGTGCATGTATTGGCTATGTGATTGTACCTTTGACAATTGAAACACCTTGTAACTCTGTTTTTAGCTGATATATGAACTTTTAAATTACAAGTCTTGTTGTCAATGATTATGTTTTTGCACAATAAATCATTAAGATCAGATCTACTGTTACATGTGACACTGATAACTGGCATAGGCTTACCTGTGTCAGTATAAGTAAGTCTTCTCACTGTATTTGTGATCCCAGTTTGTGCTGTAATTAGTTCTTCGATTGTAGAGTCAGAGAATAGTGGGTTCACATTTTTCACTATGCACCTGTAGTTGGAGTTGGGCTCGTGTACATGGATGAGATTCCCTCTGTTGTTGAAGGCTTCCTCCGGCCAGCTTCCTAGGAGTTCTTCCTTATCTTCCTCCCTGCAATAATGAATTGCTATACGTACATACCCTGGCGTGAACTAAAGGAACTAAAATGCACGAAATTTGCGAACGGACATTGTGTTTAGTTCGTATTTTAATTGAATGAGAGCACGTAGGCTATATCTTGCTTCTCTGATAAATGCCCATATGCCATTTATTGCCTTTGTCTATGTCTATGTCAATAATCTGCAAGAGGCTAATAAGCCCATATAAAGCAGTTATATAATCTAATAGTGATAGAATTTGAATAGAATATAATTTAAACCTTAACATTTAAAAATAAATCTATGGTTTACAACTCATTTTAAAATTGAAAGGAACCCGGGCTTCCTGGTTGGCCCCTGTACCCCCCTCGGAAGTCTCTTTATGTTGAAATACACTGGGCGACTGTCAGGCTACCGCGTTGACATCACCCCTCATGAGAGATTTTATGAGGATTGTTTAAAGTAGTATATTAGCGAGGGGGCCTATAATAGAAACAGGTTCGTCACTGAAGGGAGGGACCGGAATATGTATTTTAGAGATTCTGTAAATATGGCCGCTCTCGGACCCGGTGTAAAAGGGTAGGTGGTCCTATCAAATCTCCAATCTCCATTGATCAATATGGTGACCTAAATACAACTCTCTCCCTTATTATCTTATACACAATCATTCAGGGCCAGTAAGGGCCGTTCAGAAAGGGGACCATAATCCCCAGGACCATAATTTCTTTCACACCGGTGCTGAGTTCATTTTATTCCAAGCTCTAAGAATGGCACCAGAGGTTGTCTAAATTCAAAAAAAAAATCTGGAGGAATGCAAGACTCAACTGAAATGCTCGTTCATTATAGCGGGCAGTAGAAGCAATCCGAGTAGGCTATACTATCGCATATTCATTATCCGGGTAATACGAATAGGCTAACTGTGGTCGCCTTTGTTTGTTTTCTAAATCAGTGTCGAGGTAGGTAATAGGTATGAAGTAAGCCTACTGCTACCGAAGCTCTCTTTTGAGAAGCAAAGTCGAACTAATGCAAAGGATAGTAGTAGCATCGCCAAAAAGTTTAATTCAGAGATCTTCGCATGAAATCTAATCCTCAGAAAACCTGAAGAAAGCTGATGATAATGATGATTTTCCCATATCATATAAAAGTAAACACAATAAAGCCAGTGAATGTGTATAATTCATCGTATGTCAATGTAAGGTGATTTACGTAATCGTTTAAAATACTTAAATCAAAACGATGGCACAAATTCTGAGTGATAATGCGAACTGAAAAACGTTCGTACTTTTGGCGTATTATGTTTTTGGCGAAGAATTTAAAGTTGTAAACAATTGCTCAACGGCATTATACCATTGGGCGATGCCATTAGTAAAACAGTATAGTACATACTTGTAATTCTGTCTGATGAGAATTAAATGCCGTTTACTTTGGTGACTCATGACGACTGTAAAGTTATCTCAAGTTATTACAGTACGATTCCCTGATTGACCCGTTTTAACGCTATGTATTCTCCCGGGTGTATTCTTAACTAAATTCCCAAATCTTTCACTAAAAGTCCTACGCATCTGTTCGAAATTGATCTAAACGCGTCGTTCTCTTCCAAAACGCCCCATTGGATCTATATACACCTTATCTATACACGTTTGTAGTCATAGACTCTGCGGGGCCTTTTGGAAGACAACGGGGCGTTTTGGTCAATTTCGAACAGTTGCGTAGGACTTTTTAAATTGCTGCGTTTAATGTAATAAATATATTGATGCAGCGATGGAGGGTTGTAATGGGAGTCCTTGTGCAAAGTATAGGGGAGAATAATAAAAGAACTGGCGATATATCGAGGCTTTTGGTTGAAATCTGAAGATTGCATCTCCTCACATCTGAGGACAAAAACGCCGCTAAAACGAGGGACTTTGTAAACGAAAGGCAATGTCTCGACTGAAAGGTATTTCTGTGAAGGTTTTAACGGAACAAGTTTAAAGAAAAACGGTGTTGTTTGAGACTCACAATCATCGATTTTCCAAAGACAGGGTAGATTTGAAATTCAAATTAACGGTTTTGCGGCGTTTTGGTTTCGATACGCCCCGGAGAGTTAGTATCGCGTGATTCTTTGGAAATTTAAAAATTGGGAATTTTAGCTTTGAATACATTTGCATCCGATCAAAGGAAAACCATTTGGATTGATGTATCATCGAATGACATACATGTACCTATTATAAAGAAATACTATAATTTCATAAATTAGCATATTCATCATCGGTAACTTCATTTGGTCGAATAAGACTTCACGAGACGGTAGCAGGCCCGTAGCCAGGATTTGCCAAGGGGGGTTCACTTTTTGAAAAATTCCAGGGGGGTTCACTTGTGACAATTTTGGTCCTTTGGCCGGGAGGGGGGGGGGGGTTGCTCGAACCCATCTACCCCCCTGGCTACGGGCCTGGGTAGTATCCAATAAGAACGCTCGTTTTCATCTCCGACTAGAGATTGAAAACCAAGACAAACCTTGTACGATCCATAATAGAATGGAGATCCGCATGATGATTTTTTCATGTTATTTTCATAATTGTAATTAGAATACAACGTTCAAATCAAAACTAATTTGTTCACGTTTTTTAAATAACATTTCTCAAAATTAATTTTTCGAGACTCAGGTAGAAACTAAGATTATTCTCATTTCAAAAATAACAAAAATATTAAATTAAAGGCAACATCATATTTTTAATTCTTAATGAATTTGGACTGTCTCATCTTTAATCAGATATCTCATTCTTCAGAAAAATTAAAATTTTCAAGAAAAATTGGCATGATTTTGAAAAGATTCCTTCTAACAGTTGACATGGAATCTATCCCTTCCTTCTTACAGTCGACATGGAATCTATCCCTTCCTTTTAACAATTGACATGGAATCTATCCCTTCCTTTTAACAATTGACATGGAATCTATCCCTTCTACATGTAGTTCCTTTATTGGTTAGTCCCGCGGAATGCACTTGGTTGACAACATATGGGGCAAAATATCATGAAAAAGTTTCAAGCCATCGTGACAATCCAAAACAATCCGAAACAAAATACATTTTGTAAAAATATTTTTATGTAATTTTTGTAAACTTGCGCACAGCTTGAAGAAAGTGTCTTGTATAAAGGGAATCAAATAAATACTTTCAGCTCCCTACTTGTGCAATTGTTGAGTGCAAATAGTGGGTGTACGTGGTGAGTACAAGTGATGAGTGCAAGTGGTGAGTACAAGCAGTGAGTGCAGGTAATGAGTACAAGTGGTGAATGAAATTAGTGAACACAAGGGGAGTACAATGGTGGGTATAAGTAGTGAGTACAAGTAGTGAGTAAAAGTGGTTGGTGTAAGTGGTGAGTACAAGTAGTGAGTGCAGGTAATGAGTACAAGTGGTAAATGCAATTAGTGAACACAAGGGGAGTGCAATGGTGAGTATAAGTAGTGAGTACAAGCAGTGAGTAAAAGTGGTGGGTGCAAGTGGTGAGTACAAGTAGTGAGTGCAGGTAATGAGTACAAGTGGTGAATGAAACTAGTGAACACAATGGGAGTACAATGGTGAGTATAAGTAGTGAGTACAAGTAGTGAGTAAAAGTGGTTGGTGTAAGTGGTGAGTACAAGTAGTGAGTGCAGGTAATGAGTACAAGTGGTAAATGCAATTAGTGAACACAAGGGGAGTGCAATGGTGAGTATAAGTAGTGAGTACAAGCAGTGAGTAAAAGTGGTGGGTGCAAGTGGTGAGTACAAGTAGTGAGTGCAGGTAATGAGTACAAGTGGTGAATGAAACTAGTGAACACAATGGGAGTACAATGGTGAGTATAAGTAGTGGAGTGCAGGTAATGAGTATAAGTAGTTAGTTAACACAAGGGGGAGTACAATGGTGAGTATAAGTAATGAGTTCAACTAGTGATTAAACGTGATCAGTGCAGGTAATGAGTACAAATGGTGAATGCAACTAGTGAACACAAGGGGGAGTGCAGTGGTGAGTATAAATAGTGAGTACAAGTAGTGAGTAAAAGTGTTGGGTGCAAGTGGTGAGTATAAGTAGTGAGTGCAGGGAATGCGTCGTATAAATGGTGAACGCAATCAGTGAACACAAGGGGGAGTGCAATCGTGAGTATAAGTAGTGAGTACAAGTGGTGAGTGCAAGAAATGAGTCCAAGTGGTGAGTACAAGTAGTGAGTTCAGGCAATGAGTACAAATGGTGAATGCAATTACTGAACACAAGGGGGAGTGCAATGGTGAGTATAAGTAGTGAGTACAAGTAGTGAGTAAAAGTGGTGGGTGTAAGTGGTAAGTACAAGCAGTGAGTGCAGCTATTGAGTACAAATGGTGAATGCAATTAGTCAACACAAGGGGGAGTGCAATGGTGAGTATAAGTAGTGAGTACAAGTGCTGAGTGCAAGAAATGAGTCCAAGTGGTGAGTACAAGTAGTGAGTTCAGGCAATGCGTACAAATGGTGAATGCAATTACTGAACACAAGGGGGAGTGCAATGGTGAGTATAAGAAGGGAGTACAAGTAGTGAGTAAAAGTGGTGGGTGCAAGTGGTGAGTACAAGTAGTGAGTGCAGGGAATGCGTCGTATAAATGGTGAACGCAATCAGTGAACACTAGGGGGAGTGCAATGGTGAGTATAAGTAGTGAGTACAAGTGGTGAGTGCAAGAAATGAGTACAAGTAGTGAGTTCAGGCAAGGATTACAAATGGTGAATGCAATTAGTTAACACAAGGGGGAGTGCAATGGTGAGTATAAGTAGTGAGTACAAGCAGTGAGTAAAAGTGGTTGGTGCAAGTGGTGAGTACAAGTAGTGAGTGCAGGCAAGGAGTACAAATGGTGAATGCAATTAGTGAACACAAGGGGATGTGCAATGGTGAGCATAAGTAGTGAGTACAAGCAGTGAGTAAAAGTGGTGGGTGCAAGTGGTGAGTACAAGTAGTGAGTGCAGGCAAGGAGTACAAATGGTGAATGCAATTAGTGAACACAAGGGGAGTGCAATGGTGAGTATAAGTAGTGAGTACAAGCAGTGAGTAAAAGTGGTAGGTGCAAGTCGTGAGTACAAGTAGTGAGTTCAGGCAAGGATTACAAATGGTGAATGCAATAAGTTAACACAAGGGGGAGTGCAATGGTGAGTATAAGTAGTGAGTACAAGCAGTGAGTAAAAGTGGTTGGTGCAAGTGGTGAGTACAAGTAGTGAGTGCAGGCAAGGAGTACAAATGGTGAATGCAATTAGTGAACACAAGGGGATGTGCAATGGTGAGTATAAGTAGTGAGTACAAGCAGTGAGTAAAAGTGGCGGGTGCAAGTGGTGAGTACAAGTAGTGAGTGCAGGCAAGGAGTACAAATGGTGAATGCAATTAGTGAACACAAGGGGAGTGCAACGGTGAGTATAAGTAGTGAGTACAAGCAGTGAGTAAAAGTGGTGGGTGCAAGTCGTGAGTACAAGTAGTGAGTGCAGACAATGAGCACAAATGGTGAATGAAATTAGTGTACACAAGGGGAGTGCAATTGTGAGTATAAGTAGTGAGAACAAGTAGTGAGTAAAAGTGGTGGGTCCAAGGTGAGTACAAGTAGTGAGTGCAGGTAATGAGCACAAATGGTGAATGCAATTAGTGAACACAAGGGGAGTGCAATGGTGAGTAAAGGTAGTGAGTACAAGAAAAGTAATGAATACCTGTGTAGTAAACCGCGCCATTTAGTGGCCAAAATATACAGTTTACTGTTTAAAATATGCTACTGTATGTATATGCGGAAATGGAAGGATAGTTTGAGAAAGTACCTAAGTGGATAATGATAACTGGGAATTAATTGTGTAAGGGCTTAATTATGAAAAATGTAATGTCTTTTCATGACTATTTTCTATAAAACCCCATCCAAGGGTCGAGATAAAATTTTGATTCAAAGTTGGTATTGGGTCACGTGGTATCAATGTGATAGATCCATTTAAAGCTTATTGGACCATGCAGGAATGTCATTTTGTATGTCACGTGATTGATCCATATAAGACTTGTAGGACCATGTAGGGTAAGCTAAAGAAAGGCCCCTGACATCTGTCTAACAATTTTATCCGAACATTGTGAATATCATTCGGTATTTCTGCCCTCCATTATTGTACTGAGGTTTGCTGATTCGATTTGGCTTGTTTTGGAATCAATGTGACAATTTCACACTTCCAAGGAAATAATTTTGATCTACTTCTTACGAGGAGGATTCCCGAACCTCGTTAGGATTCATCCGAATTTTCTTACCTACATTGTCTACATGATCTTTCGCTATTGACTCTATTTAGGTATAAATCGTCAGTAGTATCCAATATAGCTAAACTCCGATGGTGCAAGTGTATTTCAAAGTCACAGGTGTGTGGTTCGAATACCTCCCTCCTTTTTGGCTCACACAGTGAGCTTATGGGATCGACCAGGCGTCCGTCCGTTGGTCCGTCCGTCCGTCAACATTGGCCGCACAAATTAAAACTGCTATTCAGATTGAGTCATATCCACAGTCATTTTATGCATATCCATAATGCCTATTTGACCTATCATCGCCATTTCCCAAGTTCGCCCGGTTTCCGAGAAATTGCTGATTTTGACGTCAAAAAGTCAAATTTTCTGTAAATACTAGACACTCTGTTGAAGTAGAACTTTCAAATAACTTGTAGTAGTTGCTGTATATGCAACTTATGTCTTCTGAAGATTTCAAAGCTCTTGGAATTACAGTTTTTGGTGTTTACTCTATAAAATTTGACAAAAAGTAGGACTTCGTCATTTTCAGGAAATTCCTTATGTATAAAGTCAATGGCAGGTTTTGTGATTGACAAGTTTCTCAAAGTTTGCCTTATACTTGCATTGATCATTTCTTGCAATGAATTACATCATAACTAGATTTAAGCATTCCCTACATATTGCTCAATATATGTCAGCATCAAATTTTTACCGTTTTTGAGATATTTGACGTCAAAAAACAGTAAAAATAAGTTATTTTTCAACTTGCTTCAATTTGACCAATTTTTTTTTTGAAAATCATCTACAAGTTACCAGGAGTTAAAATCTGACATTAGCTTTAGGATTTGACCTTTACTTGACCTTCAGTGACCTTTGAAAGGTCAAAAAAGTTGATTTTTCAAATTGATTTTTTGATGTAAATTTTGGTCAGCTTAATCACAAAAGACCTTACTGAGCTCTAAATAAGTAAAATTTTCAAGGTCAAAGGTCATCAAACTAGGTCACACAACTGTGCTGTCTAAGTTTCTCAAAGTTCGAGACTACAAATCCAAATCAATATTTTTGTTTGAAAGTCAGGATATGCATTCCTCTGAAGGTTCCAAACTGTGTGAGCACAGGACCGTGGGTCCTATTTTTTATTTTATTGAATCCAACAATGTTCTTCAAAAAGTGCCGTTATGATCATCGCTTTTGACTTTATTTAGATACAGCTCGTCAGTAGTATCCAGTAAAGCTGAACGCCTATTGTGCCACTAAATTAGAAAGTCCCAAGTGTGTGGTTCGAATCCCTCCCTACTTTTTTATTTTACCAAATTCAACAATTTTCTTCAAAAAGTGCCGTAAATCCAATGTGACTGAGGCATCAAAATGTGATTGGACCTACAATCAGTTATTTGTCTGAGTAATAATCAGCACTGTGATTGTTCGGTCATGTATCATGTGACCAAAAATATCACAGGGTATTTAATTCGTATGTAAATCATCCATATGAAAGGTTCAATTTTCAAGAAAAAACGAGTGTTACGTTACATGTTTATTTTTGTATTCCCAGGGGAAACCAAATAAGATATTTCTTACTTTGGAAATTTTTTGTCGGACGTTTTATATAAACCAATTTTAGTTGAAAATAAACAGGATTTTAAATGGATTAATTAGTGATCATACTTAGAGGCTACTCAGAGAAGGATTAGAACGTTTAAAGAGTATTTAGATGAGAGTGAAATCGACATTGCAAGTTGTTCCAATGAAAATGTGAACAACATTTACACTGAACGAAAACAAGTTCATTGAAAATTCCCAGGAGGGTGGGGTATCGTTATTATTGTATTATCTAATAAGCCTGGCCAATGGATATGGCCATCTATCAAATGACACGTGACCCGATTTTGGCAAATCATACAGTTGCCAGCTTGATAATGATATGACAATATGTTAATCATCTCTACTGAAGTATAGTTCGAACTGATAATCTTTGGATGCCATCAATGAGAATTATGCTGCAATATACAGTATGCTACACAATATTATACTGCAATATATGAAATACAATAACATTCAGTTATACTGCGACATAGGAATTACAACAGCATTCAGTTATACTACAATATGTGGAATACAATAAGATTCAACTATATTGTAATATGTGATATATAACATTCATTTTGCCTCAATATATGATACACAATAATTCATTAATGCTACAACATACGCGTATGATATACAATAGCATCCACAGTTCAAGTGAAGTAAATTGACCAGCTGATGTTTTTTTACCGGAAGCACACCTGGCAACACCACATGGTCAACATTCAACTCTAGCACGTGATCAACTTTACGACCAATCAAACTCTGAGTAGAACCTATTAATATTACCACAGGAGGTAAGACAAAGGCATGCTGTGCTTTTTTGAAGTAAATCATAAATACGATGCGTTGTATTATCTAAAATAACAATTTTGATTTTAAACTTGCTATCAATTGCGCTACGTGGAAACATAATATGTCACACCATTCTTCGCAATCGATTGCTTTCTATGATAAAGTATGACAAAATCAACATGTTTTTAAAATTTTATGCTTTTGTAAATAATACACAAAATACAATCTTAGTGATGTATGACCACGGTATTGTTATGTCTAGTTGTACACATTTTGATTTTGAGTTTGAAAAAAATACACTATCCTCAAAAGTTTGTCAACCATGACTTTATATTGATTAAATCCCGGAAGTGTTTATTAAGGATTGATTAAATCCCGGAAGTGTTTATTAAGGTGTGAACTATAACCCTCCATCCTTTTTTATTTTGTTGAATTCATTGTGATACGTGTAGATAGATTTCGTTTGTCATATATTGATGGTAATTCTTTGTTTTTTTTAATCGCCAAGATAGACTGGTTTCCAACATGTACGGCGGATGGATGTTACCAATCTCTTGGTGGGGAGTGACCACTAACCATCTAATATCCAACATAAATATACATTCTGTGTGCCACGATGGTCATATTCAACCATGATGCCACAGGGCACCATCTCGGTGGCTACCCTATTCATTCTGGTCATAAAAGGTAAGTCCGATATAAAACGATTTCTTTTTGCATACCTTTATTTACTATCAAGTAACGTGGAAAGATCCATCGTACGATTCAATATATATTTAAATGCATCTTGTAATTTAAACATCACCTTGACGATACAAGTGATTATATGTAAAAAAAACAACGTGTTCACGTATCTCTACTGTATTGCTGATAATATGATTGAACAGTACTGACATTTTTAGGATGAAAAATATATTGAAGCGGTATTAAAAAGGTATATTTGATGGAACTTTCAAATCCATAAACATATTGTTTTAGTCGAATTAAAGTTCAAGCTTCAGAGACTAAAAACTTGATACATTTTGAATTATCTCTGTCTAAAAGGGATGAGGAATTAAATTTCAAAAGAGGGATTTATACAAGCTATGAAAATTAATATTATGTAATCTGTTTTTCAATTGTATTTTTCTCATGTTTTTATCAGTCGCTCGTCTAAGCAGAATGAGGGGAAATATATCATGTTATATTTTTAATTTTTCACTAAATGCGTGACACATCAGCCTGGACACATATACACTACACTGGACAAACTTTTTGGTGACAAAACACAATGAAATTTCATAAAAAACAAGAGTTGCATGGGATCTACTGTATAGCGGGTGTGTGGCAAAAAACTGAATATTATTTTTATTAATGTGCTACATACACCCTATGCAGACAGAGCCCGTGGGAAATATTGGGTGCGGCGCAAATGAGCGGAGGGTGCGGAGCTAACGGTCATTTTTGAATTCAAAATTGGGATATTTCTGAAACTAAGCCGTTTTGGGACTTCAAATATACCAAGATATGTGTATTTGACACCAAATATCAATAAAATTGTGAAAATAGTAGTGCAATTCATTTTATAGCGACGCAGTATGCCTTAAACATTTCCCAGACCTATATATTTTGAGACCATCCTTTTAATACTGCGTCCCCAGCATTCATAAAAAATGGTGTTCAAGATACACTACCCATGCAAATTATTTTTGCATCTTGGAAGCCAGGCAGTATCTGTGTGATTTTATAAAAATTCGAAAATGTTCTTCAGATATGAGCCCCTCTAAATATTGGTTGCGGAGCTACGTTTATGGAGCTGCTCCGCACCCAATATTTAGAGGGGGCTCATATCTGAAAAAATTTCCGAATTTTTATAAAATCACACAGATACTGCCTGGCTTCCAAAATGCAAAAATAATTTGTATAGATAGTGCACCTTGAACACCATTTTTTATGAATGCTGGGGACTCAGTATTAAAAGGATAATTTCAAAATGTATAGGTCTGGGAAAGGTTTAAGGCACACTGCGTCGCTATAGAATGAATTGCGCTACTATTTTCACACTTGTATTGATATTTGGTGTCAAATACACATATCTTGGTATATTTGAAGTCCCAAAACGGCTTAGTTTCAGAAATATCCCAAATTTAAATTCAAAAATAACCGTTAGCTCCGCACCCTCCGCTCATTTGCTCCGCACCCAATATTTCCCACAGGCTCTGTCTGCATAGGGTGTACATACAACTAATACCACGGTGGTCGTGGTAAAACAGTCCATATTTTGTTTTATTTGTAAGTTTCACCAGCAATACAATTCCTTGATTTACAAAATTTCAAGGTGAACATTGTAGAAAACACCTTTTCATAAAAAAAACATAGAGTGTAATTTGTAAAACACATACGGATATTTAATAGACATGCACAATAAGAGTCATTTAAATTCTATTTGTATTCTACTTGTTAAACTGATGCAAATTATTTATTTCAATATACGAGGGTTATGCAACATATTATCCTGTTCCGCCACGTGAGTATTTTTACATACAAATTGTCCCCAAAATTAAAGCTTTAAAACATGATTCAGGCAAAATTGTTGTCCTACGCAAGTGATAAAAATTTTCTACAAATGTTATAAAAAATTACAAAATCAGTAAAATATATACCTTTACCTGTGCAATAGCTTGTATTCAGAATCGAAGTTGCTTTAATGCTAGCTAATACTTACTGAAGTAAGAGCACCATTTCTTGCGAAATATTATGATGCTAGATAACCGCTTATATGCATATTGTTTATTAGATTGTATTCAATTTTAGCACAATCATGTTCTTATTGGGGATCTTGGATTGATGTCCCAGGGCAATGTAATCCACCGCCTGGATGCACCAAGATATCAAAACGTGAGATAGAAGATCCAGTCAACAAACGTTCGTCTCCCGTACGATGCACCATGACGAATTACCCATGTAAAGTAAAGAGAACATGCCAAAGGTGTGGATACTATAAACGCAGTGGTGGTACTGGTGGATCGTGTTCAAGAGTAGAATACAAAACAGTAAATCGCTTAATGTGCTGTAGAACATATCCTCCCCCTCCTCCCCCTCCTCCGCCACCTCCAACTACCCCGCCCCGTCCAAGTAAGTATGTTCTCTTTTTCTTAGTATGACATATTATGTATTTATAAATTATATTCAAACTAATCAAGGTAATCAAACAATTACAGTTTATGACACATATACTATATTGTGTAAAACGTATAAGCGAATTACACTCCGCGCTTAATGCAAAAATCTCATTTGATCAAGGCGATTAAAAAAATATTAAACCCTTGTTACTCAGCACCCCAAAGACGACAGACTGCATGAAATGTCAAACTTATGTGTTTTACTCTTATAAGGATCTTTTTGCATTGTTTCAAATTTGAACTCGATGGATTGAATATAACAGCTTATAATTACTGTATACACTATTCGGTCAAGACAAGTAACTTAGTCAACATTCGATATTCGTATGTCCATCAATATTTACTAAGAATGGTGCCACAATTGAAGTAAACCTCTGGTTAATTATTTTCAATAAACATATCTGCAAACGTGTAAATGATAATTTTGATGTTCTGTTACATATTGGTGAAGCAATCTTTGGGATATGACCTAAATTTCTGATTTTCCACTGTGTCCCTGTATACCCCTACTTCAAAAGATATATGTTATTCGTCATTTTTCATTATGAACCAACCATAAATGTATTTTTTCTTGTTTACATACAGAATGAACTTTCGGTTTTAAAATATTGCAAGACGGTACTGCATTTATTTGTTCAGGATATCGAGCAAACAAATGCGTGTCAATTTACACTGTAATATCCTACATACTTATATTTCAAGGGTAGTTTTGAAGAATAATCAAGAAAATCCATGTTTTCAAATGGATTCATCCTTGTCAAAGAACGTGAATGAGGATATGCCGTTTGAAAAACTCACAACAAGTTCTTACAATTCTTGGTTAAAAAAAATAATTTGAAAGTTGTGATTTCGAATGTAATATCCTACTCAATGAAATTTGTTGATATTTGTGAATTTTTTCTTTCGAAATGCACATTGCTGGATAACAGAACCTTGCCATGTTCGAGAGGCTCGAAAAGTGTTTTGTTAATACTTGACGTCGTACGGATATTTGGATGTGATTGACGTTTTCGTTAATCTCCTACCACTGTAATTTCCAACTTAATTTTTGGAAGCCAAATGTGATAGTCACGAATTGATATTTAAGCCACACGTTGATGCATACATCATGTGTGTACATTAACTGTCGAATACATGCCAACTTACATTTATATAAATATCCACAATTAACTCAAATCATCAATTCTCGAAACGGTTAATTATTTAACCTGGTGAATTGAATTTTTCATTTTGATTCATAATTATGGTATCGGATTTGAGTATAATATAAGTCGAGGCTTAAACAAAGCAATAAAATTACGTGAAACCTTTTGTGAAAATTCGAACGATTTTTCAAGAATCCTCCTTCAAGTGATACTAAAGTGCTCCCCGGGAGTGGAAATTTCGTCTTGTGTAATAAAAATAATAGAGCGGGTGGTTTGAATTTTTGTTTGAGTTTATAGTTAACATCTATAAATTGAAAAACATATCGCCTAATTGAGAGGTACATGCATATTTTGGCGATCTATCATTATAAAGGGCTAAATATTGTGCAAAAACAGGAGTTGACACGCTTACATTTGAAAATGAAATTTCCTACATAATCGTCGACTCATGTTTAAAAGTCATGAAAACAAGGTTGATCACAAAACATTGACCCAGCTACTGTCTATTCAGCATGGGTTCACTAAGGGAAATATTATTAATGACTTAAATCGTTTACAGTTGAGTTGTATTCCAAGAAACTTATCAATTTAGAAATGCAAATTGATCAATTTTGTTTTTCAATTATAAAAAATGGCACCTGTTGAGAACAACGTTTTCAAGTTTTTTTAAAACGGAGATATTTACTTATGCAACATTCATTGGCATGTGTCAGGGAATAAATAGGAAGAATATGCATTCGATTCTATATCTTGTTCCTGAAGGAGTTTGTTAAGGAGCGGTATATCTTAACGTACTTTTATCATCCCGAACTCAAACATTTCGAATACTTATTTCGAAAACGCTTTGTTGAGAATGGATTCGAGATGTACTCAAAAGTAGTGCGTTAAAATGTGTATTATCATCTAAATAACCACCTCACAAATTATTTTGGAAATCAAAGATGTACGTTTTTTGAGTTTTTTATTTTCGAATGTTGACTTACTCACTTGGCTTGACTGTATTGCCTGATTATGACGAATATTGCGAAACGTTTTTTGTTCTTTATTACATTATTAAGTAACAGATTTCACAACGCTAATTATTTTATCATTACGATAAAGGAAATTAATTTGATTTGATTTCATTTGGTTTCAGACAGTGACACGTCGCAAAAAGGTGGCGCACTCGTGTTTTTAGGGTATCGCATGAATGTAACTTTAATTCTTCGGAATATAAGATAATATTCTAATTAAAGTTATATATCATTTTAAAGCTGCTTTAATGAAGTTTTCAGAACAAGTACACTTCTTTCACAATTCTTGCGCGTTCCTTTTTACAGGGTGTTTAAAAAACGCAACCCAAAGAAATCGCTATATCTTGGAAAATACTAATGCAATTTTGTTCATTTTTTCAGGGAAGAAAGAAGAGAATGTGTATGTAGAGCTCTTGTAGTTATTTAGTTGTAAAACATGAAGCCTTGGACTCATACTCAAAAGACATTAGTATTAGAAAGATACGAAAAACGCCGTCGGGGGTGACTGCCACAGCAATAAAACCGAATAACTTTCTAGTCATCGTGTTTTAGCTCTTCAAATTTGGCACAAATTATCCTCATTCAAAGTATGGTAAATCATCCCTAGAGTGAAATCGAAATCATTCCAGGGACTTTACACTTATGGTCGAAATGCGTTCGAAACACAGTCAAACGCCCTGGTTCAGGCAGACTTAAGAAGGTATTTTGACCATGACTGTAAAGTCCATAGAGCGATTTTGATGAAACTCCACAAATTCATCACACATTGAATGAGGATAATTTGTGCCAAATCTGAAGTTCCAAAACACAATGGTTACAAAGTTATTCAGTTTTATTGCTGTGGCAGTCACCTTTGACTGTGTTTTTCGTATCTTTCTTATACTAATGTCTTTTGAGCAGGTGTCCAAGGCATCATGTTTTACAACTAAATAACCACAGGAGCTCTACATACACAGTCTCTTCTTTCTTACCTGAAAAAATGAATTCATTTGGATACGTATACCAAGATATAGCGATTTCTTTAGGTTGCGTTTTTTTGAACACCCTGTAAAAAAGAGTTTTTTGACCAAAAATCTGGCAAATATCCGCTGTCGACACGTTACATTTTTAATAATGTTTCGTCGTTAAACACTCATAACTCAAAAAATATTTGACTATTATATAGAGGTTATTTAATGGGAGGGATGGAATATGGATTTTATTCCGAGGGAAAATATGATATTGGCCAAGGAAAATATCATATTGACCGAGGGCGATAGCCCGAGTGTCAATATGATATTTTCTGAGGCCAATATCATATTTTCTCAAGGAATAAATCCATATTCCATCACGACCATCAATAACCTATTTATTTCATAATATTTTTTTTTCAATTTTTGTATGTCATCATCCAATGATTGTGACATAAAATTATACAATTTATCATATAACATTTTCAACTTTTATTATCAAGTTTTACTTAAAAATATAAATAATTTATAACAATAAAATGGCTCATAATATGGCAAAATAAACACAATATCATGAAACGTCTTAATGAAACATGTGGATGTAGAATGGGCCTACATGTATGTACTTTTCAAGAATGTCTACATCTTATTCCATACTGTACATATCAGTCATTACTCTTGAGAACTGTCACTACTACTATATATAATTCTCCTGTACTTTCTGCTCTTTACAGGGGAATCTTCAATTGCATGTGCTCCACTTGCTGACCCAAAATGAAAATTGAATACACCCCTAGCATTTCCAAAGGAAGTGCTGGGTGCTGGCCCAGAACAAGCTGATGATGCCCTCTTTGTAGACTCTGGAGATTCTGAACGCTTCCCACTTGATATTGTGTTACTTATCTGTTCTTTCTTTTTCATTGACATTTTGCTATAATTGTTAACACTTAAAACATTCTTCCAACCCATGACTTTCTTAATGTTGTTGATTTCAACGTCATTATCTACCATCGTTTGTGCGGCTGTTTTTCTAGCTGAATAGTTGGTGATCTTCTTGTCTTGGATTCCCACTGCAATAAACAACGGCACTGTCGGGTTAATAACATTACGATATGGACAGATGAGATATTGTTGCAGATAATGGATATGGGATAAAAAAAGTTGAGTGATATTGGATAAAAATTATAAGGGATATGGGATATCAAGTACAGTGTCAAACCTTTAAATTGAAAACTACTAATTGTAACAAAAATACAATAATTCACCTAATGAAACTTTTCAATAATGTCTACATCTATAATAGTACTCAAAGAAATTGGTAAAACTAACCTTTAACAGCTGCTACGCATGATAGAATCTATAGAGTTGTGTCCCATAGGCCTGGGGTAGAACCATTCATCACCCTCAGAGAAGTTATCTTTCTTTATCGGTTGAAGATAAAATGGCGCATCTGGATTCAACATTGTCCTATGTGAAGCATACTTCTCATATACAGCTACAGGGCAACGATCACTACCTGGAATTTCAAACATTAGCGGAGGATCCTCTCTGATATTGCGCTCATCTTCACCGGTCCTTGTCTTCGTTTGTCGTTCAGTTAATCTTAGATATTTCTTTCCATTTACTGACACCAATTCCTCAATGTCACCCCAGCATAAGTTACGCGCTTCACGTCCTGTCCGCATTCCAAAGTGTGTTGTATTGTTATAATACACTGTTGTGAGAAGTGATGTTGGATTCTCTAATCCAAAGCCTCCTGCAAAAACAATGTGATAAAAAACATGTAGATAAATTACATGATTATTTTAGATTTGATAATATCAAAAACATACATAATCTTTTAATCATGTGTCTTAACCTTCATTGCATGTGAAACAATGACATATAGTTTTAGTGACTTTAGTGCATGTCATCTATGCCTGGGTCACAAATGCTGCGATTCGCCGGCCAATTGAGCATTCTGTTCAAAAATGTATTCAATTTATGAAGAAAATACTCAATCGGCTGGGCGCCGGCCGATGAATCACAGCATTTGTGACCCAGGCATTAGCGAGATTCCAATGTTGTTCATGGCATTTACCTCTTGAATACAGGATATCGATTTCGTCATTGTCAAGGCTTGCTGCAGCAAACGGCTTATTTCCAAGACCTTGACTTTTCAAATTCTTCTGCTTTGATTTTAGAGCAGTTCGGCACTTATCAAATACGATGGACTTCAGCAAATCTTCCATGTATTCTTTATCCTTGAGATATCTTGCGATGCTGCTCATAAAAGCTCTTAAGGTTGATGGTTGATATTCTGCACCATCCTCCTTTCTTATGTTAATGAAAAAATGTTTGAGGTGGTCATTAAGATCATGGGGATCTATCTCCTCGATCGGTCTGAGTTCATTCCTCTCACTCCGTAAAAAATCTACTAGGATTTTTATGTCACTTTTAGTTTTCTTCGAAGTATTGATATTTTCTTGACCTTTAATGAAGTCATCAACATCCTCTGTTGCATACCTAGACATATTTGTCACAGTAATAGACCTTTGTCACAGTAATAGACGTAAACTAGATGATAATAATTTCAATAATTTCAATTTTCCAAACGATTTTTTTTACTTCCTGTAGAGATGTGCTAGACGAAAAGCGTAAAACTCAAGAGAAATTACCGGGAATATTTCTGATACGGGATCTGATACGGGATTTTTGCTGATACGGGATCCAATACGGGATCTGATACGGGATTTTGGCTGATACGGGATCTGATACGGGATTTTTCAAATAACACTTTTATTCCCTGTTATTTTCCCAGGGAAAACATGTTATTATGGAATAAACTTTATTTTCGTCTTGATAGAGGTAGATGGAAGTGTTATTTAAAAGACTGAATTCTAGCAAGCGTCCCATATTGTGACGTCATAAAGTTTGAAAAATAGAATCTGTCGTCTGCTAATTTTTTGTTACCTTTAACTTTTCAGGTGTACATCAAGCAAAAATTACGAGACCAATTTGAAATAAATCTTACATGATTATCTTACTCATAAACTCTTGTTCATTAATCAAGAGTTGTTTTTGTTCGTAAACTTATGTGTTTTCTGTTGTATGTGGAAAAGTGGACGACGAAAGGTTTTCAAAATTCAATAAAGTATGGCAATATTAGGCCATTCAACTATTTTCAAACATAGCAACACATATATTTATTTCAGCTAAAATATAAATTGATTCGTGTTTTATAATGCTCCTATCCCATTGTTAATATGTATACGATATCAGAGATATTCGTCTAATATATTTTGAGATATAGAGGCAAATGTTGAGGACGAAAGGACGAAAGGTGTACATTTTTCTCAAAAATGTCACATTCTGTCGTGTGTTAAAAAACGAAAGTGTCTAACAATACGTGCGCGAACTATTAGCGACGTGTCAGTGTACGTAGTTGCTGGTCTCGACGCATCTTTGTTATTTAAGTTATATGTATGTTTAATTTCCCCAAAATAATGTAATGCAAACAAACTACTGTACAAAGTAAATACAAAATATAATTTGATCTAGTGTATCGAAAACATATATTCCAAACTCTAGTTATTTTAAAAATGAACAGACTTGAGTGACTCCTCTAAAATCTCTTGGAATTCGACTTTTATTTTCCCAATTGAATAAAAACAAATTAAAAGTTCTTTATAATTTCTAAAGCATGTTACTGGAAACCCTGGGGAGGCTATACAAAATACGGACGTTGTGTTGAAAAAGGTCCGTCAACGCAACAATGCTATAAACCTGGTATTTCAACATGTTATCGAATACGGCAATGTCACTGCACAGTACCTGGATATCGTGGTCCAGGATATTGTAGTGGGTCTTCGAAAGAGTATAAAACAAAGCCATGCTGTCTGCCACCAAGTAGGTGAACATATTACAGTATAGTTTCTTTTGGCTGATTTTAATATTCAAAATATGAAGTAAAGATGAAACTTGATGTTCAATTTTTACATGGTATTTCAAATTTTCAGGACTTTCATTTAAT